TATATATATATATGTGTGTGTGTGTGTGTGTGTATATTAACGTACGTACGTATTTATATACATATGTATTCGATCGTGCATCGAGCGTAACAAATGCGTGCACACCTACAAACTTACAGTATATATATATGTATATATATATGTATATAAATAAAATCGTTTCTCTTATCGCGGTCCTACGTCGTTCAAGGGACTCGCCCGAGTCCTATTGTCCAACAATTTGTTCAATTCTATCGTCGAAGAGAAGAAGGAAGGCAAGAATCTCGAGAACGATTTCTTTTGTCGCTCTACGAACAACTTTTTTTCTTTTTTTTTTATTTATAAAGGGGCCGAACAAATTTATTTAAACCAAGTATAAGTACTTCATGCTTATTCACCCCCCCCTCTCTCTCTATCCCTTTTCTCCCCCTTTTTATTTATTTTTTGAACCACTCAATCTCTCATCTTTTAGGATTTTTTCACTCTCTCCCCTCCATAACCACCCCTCCCACATCCCCTCCCCCTTCCCACAACTCGCCTCACTCGACTATTATATAATCTTTAACACACAGTTTCCTTTCGACGAACTTTCTTCTCATCAGCCATCACCACCACCAACCACCACTACTACTACTACTACTACCATCACCACCTTGCTATCCTAGCGGAAAACTCGATTTCCGGTTATCGTCACTCACCCTTCCTACTTCGTTCATCTCGTTTCTATCCAAAGCCCTTCGCGAAAGCTACGAAATTGCATTCGAATAGCGCGGCTATTAGTGGCAGCAAACGTCGACCTCCACCAACCAGTAACGACCACCACCACCACCATCACCACCACCACCATCACCACCATCAATAGTAGTAGTCGGTCTCGTCTCGTCTCGTCTCGTTCAATGATATTCGTCAATGCCGAAATAATACACGCCGAGAAATTATTTTACATATGTTTAATGTAAAATAACACCCCCTCCCCCTACTCCCCCCTTTTCCACCAATTCTACGATAATCGTCTAACTTTGTAATAACGTCAATACAATTTTGGATTTTTCAATTTTATTACCGAAAAAATGGATTTCAATATTTGTCTCATTAACGGTGATATTTTTTTTATTATTATTATTATTAAAGTAATAGGCAAAATAACGGAATAATTTATTCGCCAATGATCTCAGAAAATACCAACCTTGCATCGCACCTGCCCAACACAACCAAAAAAGCGCCCATTTGGCCGTACGAAATTTTTGCAAATAAATCGGCCTGAACCAAAACCAACCGCACTTTAAATTGTTATCCGTGGTTTTGTCCGACTCCTTTAACATTTCTGCTTTTATTTCCGGTTTCCTCGGTCCATCACCAAACTGTTCCGGAAAGTTGGATAGAGTCTCGTGCATGTCCGGGACACCCGACTGAAAATGATGTTTTGTATAATACAAACGACACTTCTATTTACATATTGCAAGTTTCTATTATAATATTATATCAGTAGCGTGTAAATCATTATGAAAATGTTAAAATTTAAATACGTTAATTAAGTTATCTTTACGGATTACGTTAAATTATTTCAGACGTATAAACATCAAACACAAACTTCATTAATTTCTCGAACTAATTAACGATAATCATTATCGACTTATACATTACATACATTTGCTGAGGAAGTCCCCAGTAAGGGACGAAACGTTCAACAAGATCAAATAAATTTGTTCATCAAAATTTATTAACTGTCTTCAATTTTCCCTTTGAAACTCATATATATTACATACATATTTTTTAATATATATATATATATATCATTTTGTTCACGTGTCAACTTTTACTTTTCAAACATTACTTCGTTATATTTTCATCGAATAACAAAAGAAAAATGAATGATGGATGATTTTGATAAAAATAAATACGCAATCTTAACGGGAGTCAACAAACTTGTATCGTAATTTTAGCAACGTCACGTCACGAACATGAACATGCTACCACCCAATTGGGGTAGCACCAAAATTAGCCAGCCTCCTCTGGGACAAAATTATTCATTCTGGTATAGCAAAGAAAAAAAAAAAAAAAAATCAAAGAATCTTTCTTTTCCATTTTAATGCCTTTCTTAAGAGGAAGAATTAGTCTCATTGAGAAGGGGACGTTTAACGATCGCCGTCTAAAAGGGCATGTGAGTTCATCGAACGAGTGCATCATACCTTCTATATGTTATACATTTCTATTGCATAAATAGAAATCATTTGATTGAACATTAGAGAGCGTAAAAAGGAAATTAAATAAACAAATATTACTACAAGTTTATCGTAATTATTATTATTATTATTATTTTTAATGATAAAATTTAACAGGGAACTTGGACATGAAAGAAGTAGAACTTAGTTTGATTTAGTCTACTTCTTTCATGTCCAAGTTCCCTGTTAAATTTTATCATTAAAAATTGTAATTTTTGGACGAGAGAAATACTAAATAAATTATTATTATTATTAAATGGTATCTATCGTTCCGAAATATTATATTATCGAATGATAATCACAACGATCGAAATTTTCAATCTAAAAATATGAAACGTCCAAATGAAGTAACTTCGATTGAATTATTTCTATCTCGTATGAATTCTTTAAAAGGATACCTTCTTACAAGGATGATATTATCCTACCATTATACATTCTAAACATTTCACAAACGTCATTCTAATATTCCCCCATCGTCTCATTAGAGAATATTTTATTATCCAAGAAGGAAGATAGGAAAATTAAGAAATGAAATAATTATCCATAAGAGACTTACACCAAATGCAAATTTATCTCGCATGATCGTTAAGATATATCTCGTTCTTATTGATTTCAAACTTTCCTCTCTCTCTCTCTCTCTCTTTCTCTCTCTTTCTATCTCTTCGAAGAGACCACTCGTTAGATTTCCAACGAAAATAATATAATAACGAATGACGTTAAGATTGATGATAACGAATGTTAGAATAAAACGTCATTTTCTTCTTGCACGGTTTCAGTCAAAGTTTTCGATGCAATTCAACTGTGGGCCCGTTTGTTTCTTTTTGGTTTTATTCGACTAGGAATCACGATAATGAGTTTTCTAGCAGCAATATCAGCATTCCAGTAACACTACCACTATTAGTAACAGCAATAGCAGCAACAGTCGTAAGGTTTCAACAAGACTTTCTTCTTCTTCTACTATTTCTTATTCTTCTTCTTCTTCTTTTACTATTTCTTCTTCTTATTCTTCTTCTTCTTCCCTCAGTCAGTTCGGTATTAATCTTAACATTTTAGCTAAGGTTAGACGCGCGACACACTTGGCGCCAAACGTTAAACTCATTTTCAACGATTCATCATCCAACTTTTCTCTCCTCTTCGAAATTACGTTTACCATTCTTCTTCATATAACATTTTCTTTCATTATCAAAGTAATTAAATTATAACGTCAAATGAAAATTTATATAACTTCTTATGGTAACGCAAAAAAAAGAAACGAAAATAAACGAAACGAAAAAACCAGGTCAAACTTTATCGTTAAAWAAAAAAAAAAAAAAAAAACCTTAGATATTATCACGGTGGGGAGGAAGGCTGTGGGGGGGGGAGGAAATACGATGAGACGTAGTGAAAGAATGAATAAATGAATGAATGAATGATAGAAAGGAAGGAAGGAAGGAAGGAAAAAAAAATAATAATAATAATAATCAGAGAGTCAAGATTCTAACGACATTTTTCTTCCTGGACACGCGCGATTCGTCCACCCTCGAACCCCCCTACCCCTCCCTCTACCCCCGCCACGCCACCCCTTTCTCCTATCCTCTTCTGTTATTTTTCTTCCCTTTTTTGGTTTTTTTTTTTTTAGAGTCCCGAAGCAAAACTTCTTCTTATTCCTTTCGAAGTCCGATAACGAATATCATTGTCCGCGAGAAAACTTGATTCGCTACGAATAGAAGAGGAAAACTCGCGTACCACGATTTCTTCTTACTCGCGCTTACATTCTCTCGTGTAGTAGCCGTTTAAAGAAAGAAAGAGAGAGAGAGATAAAGGGGGAAGGGGGTAAGGGAGAAAAGAGTGGTGTGGAAACTTCTATAACACTTCGTTCGCGATTAAAATCTATTCGAACGGATTTTAGGGGAGCAGTGAGAGGGAGGGGGGGAGTGGATGCTTTTTTCCTCCTTTTCCTCTTCCTCCTCCTCCTTGACTTTTCTTCTTTCCGAAGTCCGAGGGAAAACTTTATTTTTTCTTTCTTTCTTTCTTTATTTTCTTTTTTTTCTTCGTTCTTTTCTTTTTTATTTTTTTACTTTTACGAGATTCTAATTCCTTCCTTGTAAAGGAAAACTTTATTTTTTTGTTTTGTCTTCTTCTTCTTCTTCTTCTTTTTATCTCAAACTTACGAAAGTACTTTAAACTTTGAGAGAAGACGAAAAAAACGAATGAACGAACGAATGAACGAACGAATGAAAGAACGACCAAACGAACGATCTCGTTCGTAAACGATTACTTTAACGTTACAAGGACACTGATTCTTTTTTTCTTCAAGTTTCGTTCTTTTTAAGTTCTCTCTCTCTCTATGAAAAAAAAAATCAAAAACCGTAAATCGAATATAATTCGAACAATAACACACGTTGTTACGCGATTAAAAAAAAACAAAAAAAAAAACCAATCCTCTCGCACTTTTCCTTTTTACGATTTAATCCGCGTATCCGTTCTTTTTTTTCTTTTCCTTTTTGAAATTCTATTTTTTCCTCGGGAATATAAAACGTCGCGTAATAATTTGACAAGAAGGTGAGGGGGGATTATTTATGCTTCGTTGATTGGTTGGCCCTTTTTGACGAAACGGAAATAAGAAAACTCCGACAGATTCCGAACGTGGCAGCTGAGGCCGCGTGTCACACGCGACTGAGAGTACCAAGCTCGTGCTTACTCTCTCTCTATCTCTCTCTTTCTCTCTGAACCTCTTTCACCCTCTCTCTCTCGGACTTTTCCCCGTGAGTTAAAACCTCGTATACGCAGCCGTTACTACTGTAGACATTCTCTGTCCCGTTCTCGTCCCCTTCCACCCTCTTTCTTTCCTTCCTCTCCCTTCTACCATCATTCTACTCACTCTCTCTCTCTCTCTCTCTCTTTCAAAACTCCCCCACCACTCGACTCTTCTATTCTCGTCCTTCTCCCTACTCTTTCTCCTTCTTCTCTCTCTCTCTCTGATGCTACCCCTAATTCAGCGTGCAACCATCCCCCACCCTAATACCAAGTCGAACTACACAACGAACACCGCTATAAAACCACCACCATCACCACCACCACCACCGCTAGCTGTTGCTTCTACAAAATACCAGAAAGCGATGACGATGGTGCTTGTTCTTCCTTCCTTCCTTCCTTCCTTCCTTTCTTTCTTACTTCTTCTATCATCTACCACCGATTTCGATAAAGATTATTTCATCGATTTAATTTCAACTTGATTGCAACCCTCCGATTATCATCATCGATCCCCCTCCCCTCCCCCTACCCTGCCCTCTTTTGTTCACGTTCGAGTTTGATATTTTATCCTTTATCTACTTAATTATCATCATACCTATCTAACCTGTTTATTCTATATCTATCTCCATTCAACGATTTTTCGATATTATAGCAAAAATATATATACCTTTATATATATATATATATGTATATGTATCTTTCTCTTCCTCTAACCGATTAAAAGCCTACACCGTTGGAATATATTCCGCGTCGATGAAATTTCCGCACGAACGATTATTCCTTTCTCGAGGTGTCGACGATAATAATTTGATACCACATGTTATATAATAACTATTTACGTATAAACATATACGTGTGTATGTATACATATATATATTATATTCCGATAGCCGATCGAATGATCGAAGAGAAACTAATATTATACTAATGACTAACATGTCAAAGTTAAAATTATCTATGTATCTCTCTTTTTATCTAACAAATAATAATTATCATTTGAATAAAATACCATATATGTTTAAATTATCAATCTTTGGTTCTATGTTTTAGATCATAATTTAATATTTTATTCTTCGATTTAATCGATTAGTACCAAATTAAATAATTCGAAATTACAAGATATTGTATATATAGTTATACGGAAATTGTTATTCCGAATAAGAGAGATGGATAATTTATTATTCGTAAGAACGCTTTTTCATTGGTTACCGGTGTACCAGTGTCAGTTGTCAATGAAGGACATTGGACCGATATCGATACGCAATAATATCGAATATCGTTCGTTGCTAGACGCATTGGTAATGGTGTCGAATTATAAAGTTCTCTCTCTCTCTCTCTTTCTCTAGTTCGTAACGGTATGTAGAATTGATCTCAAAAACGAATCAAGTAACATTACTAACAATAATATTCTCGTTCATCATTCATTCATCAATTATCACGCGATGATTTATTCTACTTATAGTTTTATTTTTATAAATACACATATGGTACGTGATACATGATATTCATTTGAAATTGTATTTATACATTCCTTCTTGTATCTTCGACCATGAAATTTCTCTATTTATCGATAATTTATATATATATATATATATATATATATATATATATGTGTGTATAAACACGTGCCGAATAAAATATATTCTTATTTCGTTAACATATATGATATAATTTTCTATGATAATTATATACGACGTATATAATAGTTCGAAGAGATGACATTTTTATCCGCGCGAGTAATAGAAAATAAAAAAAATGTTCATTCGCGTGATGTCTGTTTTGTAATATAATGTAACGTTAATATCTCTAATGATTATTTTTGTTTAATACATAAAACAATGTTGAAGTTTTAAATATTAAACGTAACGCGGAATAATATATAAAATAATAAATTTAAATGATCACATCTCAACGCGAGATAATATCACATATAATAAATATATAAATATTTCACTTACCGCGTTTTAGAAGTAAAAATTTGATCTTCGTTTAAAAGTGATCTTTGCAGTTTAGAGAAATTCTGATATTAATAAGTTTAACGAAGCAATGAGAGATAAGTTATAAGATAATATGAAAACGTAATTCTGCGATAACAGAAATATGTTACTCAAACTGTATGAATTCTCCGAAACTGGCGAACGTTAAAAGTCTATAAGACAAAAATTTATTCAAATTATATCAGATTTCAAATAAGTTTGAAATAAAACGTATTTTACTGTATAAATTTGATATAAAATGCAATTATTATTTTCCCCGTTATTTGTAGTAAGCAATTATACAAGCAAGGAAGGAAGAGAACAAAAAAAAAAGAAATCATTTCTATAGTACGAAAATTTCAATTAATAATTGCGATCGAACTTTTACTTTTCTCATTTTCTTCTTTTTTTTTTACTTTTTTCTTTTTTTTTTTTTACAGTAAACTCGTCGAGTCTCCGGTTATTACGTTTTTGTTAAGCCACGGGGATATTAAAGCATCCCAGCACGGCTAGTAGCCGTTTAAAATGACGCGCGAGATGCAAAAAGTTTATTACGCTTCGCGTTCCATTCTCATATAGGACTTTTTTATTCAAATCCAACGAGCCCGCGCGATATTTTCGTGTTAACATTTAGATCCCATATATCTGCCGTCTCTTAACATTAAAAAACGATCAAATAAAATCCTCATGAATAAAAAAAAAAGAAAAAAAAAAAACAAAAAATCCTTCAAACAAACGTAATAAATATTAACAAGCACGGAGAAAGGATATAAAACACAGATATAATATTTAAATATATAAATATATGAAAGAAAGAAAAAAAGAGAAATAATATTCATGTATATATAAAAATAAATAAATAAATAATAATCAACTTACTATATACGGTTGTTGTTATGTTTTTTTTTTTTTTTTCAATCGACGATAATATCTTTTTAACAATTTGTCAAATAATTATAACTATCCACAAATGTAATATCCAACTCGTTCGTGACTTTTATAAGATTACGGAAGAATATGATTATTATTGACGTCAAAGCAAATAATAAAAAACGTGTCGTGACAATACGTATATGTCGATGTGTTACGTTTTACAAGTGGTGGGGGAAGAATTTCTAGTATGCAAATCGACGATTAAATGTCCCGAGGACATTTGTCAAAGAAATAATTGCTAATAACGTAAGTTACGTTTGATATTCTTTAACGTAGACCAATAGTAAGAGAGTCTGGACGGTAACGATAACACTCAGGTATTTTGTACAATTAAAGAAAGAGAAAGAAAGAGAAAGAAAGAGAAAGAGAAAGAGAAAGAAAGAGAAAATTCAACATCTCTTAAGACTACCATAACACTCCCCGCCCACCCCCTCCCCCTCTTACTCTTCATTCCTCTCCTCTTCTCTTCTCCTTTATCGTGTTTCCTCTTTTACATTAAAGAAGATAAAAGGAGGAAGTTGATAATGGAATTGAAACATTTTGTTTCATTTTCACCATTCCGAGACGTGTACTAATATACTCTTTCTTCTACTGCACGTAAGAAATATTTTTAAATACTTACTTCCTGAGACTTAAATCCCACGCACACGATTACCGTTGACACGTTCCCATCTTATTATATTTCTTTCTTCTAACTGTCATCATACTTATTATTTTTTCGTATAAAATATTATTATTCGTTTCAAAAATCGATCGTGTAAGAAATGATTAAAAATAATAACGAATCTTTCATCCAATTCGATAATAATAATTAACGCTACTCCATACTTTATTTCTTTACTTTTTTTTTTGTTTTTTTTTTTCTTTACATTTAACCATCATATACCCTATCTTATCATCCGAGAAAAACATTGTCGTGA